TCCTGTTTATACTCAACATTCAGTTATACATTGTGACAGCTTGTGTAAAATGATGTTAATTCTTTTTTTTGTTGTTGTTGTTTTTTGGTGAGACGGTGTTACTCTCTTGTTACCCAGGCTGGAGTGCAATGGCACGATCTCAGCTCAACGCAACCTCCTCCTGAGTTCAGGCAATTCTCCTGCCTCAGCATCCTGCGTAGCTGGGATTACAGGCACGCGTCACCATGTCCAGCTAATTTTTTTGTATTTTTTTTAGTAGAGACGAGGTTTCACCATATTGACCAGGATGGTCTCGATCTCTTGACCTCGTGATCCACCCACCTCGGCCTCCCAAAGTGCTGGGATTACAGGTGTGAGCCACCGCGCCCGGCCGTTAATTCATTTTTTAAAAGGAAAACAAATGTAGCTTTTTTAAGGAAAATAATAATGATGCAGCTCTGAAAAATCTGACTTCAGTCAAGTTTACTTCAGGAATGTGGAAACGAAATAAAACATTCACAGTAACACGGTTTACTTTAAAAAAATATCTCTAGGGGAAACACCTGTGCAATAACCTTAAATAATCTATTTTTTAAACTATAAAAGTGAGAGTTTACTTTCCAATTTCTCTAAAGAGTTAGAGGACACGAGTCTCTCCAGAAGTGCATACACTCATGTGTGTATGTGTACTTGTGTGTGTTCCGACATGAAAATGGTGAGAAAGCAGTGTATTGCCATACAGAGTGAGTTTCCCTTTCCTAGAGTTGCTGAACCATATTAATTTCTGTATTAGTCAGGGTTCTCTAGCTAGATAGAGACAAATGATTGATTGATTGATTGATTAAGAAAGGATTTATTTTAAAAATTGGCTTACATGATGGTGGCTGAGAAGCCACACAACAGACTGTGTTGAACCCAGAAGTCCCTGGGACACCAGTAGTGTGACTCCATCCAAATCCAGAAGACTGGAACTTATGCTTATAGAAGGGCTGTCATATTCCATGCACTGTTCTCAGCAACTTATGCATATTCTCATGTATAATTAAGATGACAACTCTATTAAGTATAAAGCAAAGAAAAATAAGTTCTCCAGGATTCTTGTGAGCAGAGTGTTGCTGTAAAGGTGATTCTTTACCTCTCAGAGAGGCAAAGACTCCAGTTAGAATTGATCTGTGTCAGCTGGGTGTTGTAGCTCATGCCTGTAATCCCAACACTTTGGGAGGCTGAGACAGGCAGATCATCTGAGGTCAGGAGCTCGAGTCTCAACTGACCAATATGGTGAAACCCCATCTCTACTAAAAATACAAAAATTAGCCAGCATAGTGGTGGGTGCCTGTAGTCCCAGGTACTCAGGAGGCAGAGACAGGAGAATTGCTTGAACTTGGGAGGCAGAGGTTGCAATGAGCCAAGATTGCGCCACTGCACTCCAGGCAGTGTGACAGAGTGAGACTCCATCTCAAAAAAATTTATAATAATAATAGTTGTTCTGTGTCTATCACTCTCTTGTGGCTCTATTTCAAATGTTCAGAATCAGAGAAACGAGTGATGTAACCCTTCAATCTGACACTGAAGGCCTTAGAACCCAGGGCAGGGGTGGGGATACTGGTATCAATCTTGAAGTCTAAAGACCAGACCGCCTGGAGTCCTGTGTCTAAGGGCAGGAAAAGAATGATGTCTCAGCTGTAGGAGAGAGACAGGAAAAAAAGACAGATTCTTTCTGTTCTTCCTGGACCTCTAGCCACATTGAGGGCAGATCCTTTCTACTCAGTCCACCAACTTACATGCCAATCTCATTTAAAGACACCCTCATAGACACACCCACAAGTACTGCTTTGCTAGCTAAGTCCCCAGGCATTCTTTAATTTGATCAAATTGACACCCAAAATTAACCATCACACCTACCGTGCCTTTAGCAGTACTGTGCTTTATAGATTACATTTCTAGAAGGCTTGTCATATGCCATGTACTGTTCTAAGCATCTTACAGGTATTATAATGTATAATTAAGAAGACAAATCTATTAAGTATAAAGTAAAAAAAAAAGTTTGTAAGCAGACTGTTGCTGTGAAGGTGATTCTCTGCTGCTCAGACAGGCAAAGGTTCTAATCAGAATTGATCTGTGTCTGTCACTCTCTCGTTATTGTATTTTTTTATATATGAAGACTGATCTCTGCATCTCTTCTTAGATCCTTTCTGTCTGCCAATGTATTTCTCCTGTTTTCATCTTGTCTTGTACATTATATACAACTTTTATCAGCTTTCACAGAAAGCTTGCCCTATAATGAGCAGGATAAACAGAAAAGAAGTAATAAAAGGGAGAGGTGGTCATATCCCTTGGTCAGCCACAGCTCCTGTCTTTCTGAATGGTATCTGGACAACCACATTGAATCTTTCATCACAAGCCAGGCTTCTGCACATCATCACGGCATTAATTCCTGCTTATCAGTAAGCAAAAATAACTCCAGTTTTTTCTTGGTTCAGAATTAATTTGAAGACCCAGTGCTTCAGAAGGAGAGAGATCATGTAGCAGAGATTTCACTTTATTCTGTGTGCCTAAATTATAATAACTCAGATCTTAAATTTCTATTATTTTTTCGAGAATTAAAAAAATACATATAGGTATATATTACAAGCCATCTATTTTCTTATGACATTAATCAAATATCACCATCAGGAGTAAAGAAAGCATAGTAGGCAAAAACTGCAAATCTAGCAGTTCAATCACAGGAATATGATGAGTTTTTTATTAGATAAACATGCCAACTACTCCCATGCATGCCATATTTTGTTATGCTCTTTCTACATGAACAGGTTGCCCTCAAAGACCACTCTTTGAGGTAGGATATATAAAATCATGTATGAGGACGGGTATGGTGGCTCACACCTGTAATCCTAGCACTTTGGGAGGCTGAGGTGGGTGGATCACCTGAAGTCAGGAGTTAGAAAACAGCCTGACAAACCAGGTAAAACCCCATTATTATTATTATTATTATTTTTTTGGAAAGAAAGAAAAGAAGAGAGAGAGAGAAAGAAAAAAAAAGAAGGAGAGGAAGAGGAAGAGAGAGAGAGAACGGGAGTGTTGCTTTATTGCCCAGGCTAACATGCAGTCTAAAAATGGGTATTGAAAACCTTTTTTATGCCAATAATTGTGCTTAATAATGGAGACAGGAAAAAATGAGGGAAGAAAATAACAAACAAGTAGCCAACCAATATTTCCTTTAAACTTGTGAGTAGGTATGATGTGGTATTGATAAGAGTGTATATTTTGTGTCTTTAAAGTGGAGACTTCTACAAATGTTTATTAAGTTTACTTGTTCCAGATCTGAGTTCAAGTCCTGGATATCCTTGTTAATTTTCTGTCTCGTTGATCTATCTAATATTGATGTTGACGTCTCCCACTATTATTGTGTGGGAGTCTAAGTCTCTTTATAAGTCTTATGTATCTGGGTGTTCCTGTATCGGGTGCGTATATATTTAGGATCGCTAGCTCTTCTTGTTGCATTGATACTTTTACCATTATGTAATGACCTTCTTTTGATCTTTGTTGCTTCAAAATCTATTTTATCAGAGGCGAGAATTGCAACTCCTGCTTTTTATTTATTTATTTTTGCTCTCCATTTGGTTGGTAAATCTTTCTCCATCCCTTTGAGTCTTTGTGTATCCTTGCATGTGAGATGGGTCTGGATGCAGCACGCTGATGGGTTTTGGCTGTGTCTTTTGATTAGGGGATTTAGTCGATTTAAATTTGGGATTAATAATAATATATGTGAGTTTATTATTGCCATTTGATGTTAGCTGGCTGTTTTCCCATTAGTTGATGTAAATTCTTCATTATGTTGATGCTCTTTTTTGGGCATATTTTTGGAAACGCTAATACTGGTTGTTCCTTTTTATGTGTAATACTTCTTTCAGAAGCTCTTGTAGAGCAGGCCTGGTGGTGATGAAACCCCATATCTACTAAAACCCCATCTCTATTAAAACTATAAAAAGGAAAATATTAGCTGGATGTGGTGGTAGGCACCTATAATCCCAGCCATTCAGAAGACTGAGGCAGGAGAATTGCTTGAACCCAGGGGGTGGAAACTGCAGTGAACCGAGATCATATCACTGCACTCCAGCCTGAGCAACAGAGCCAAATTCTGTCTTGGGGGAAAAACAATCATGAAAGAATTAACTGTCATTTTGGTTCAGTTTTAACATATATAAAACAGTTGTGGTATAGCAGGCATGCACTGCAGTACAGCAAGGGGATTACAGCATGTGCTAAATGGTACAGATTTATACAATAATTAATAAAGGATCCCTTCATATTGAGTCTTCTATATATAAAATTATGGGTACACTTGAAATATCTATAAAGTGCATATACTGCCTATCTAACTAACTTACTTTACTTCTGTAATAAACTAGCTATATATATTTAGCAATTAAATAATTAACAAATATAGGTGAGTACATAAGATACATGACGAAAAGTAATGAAAACAAAAGGAAGAATGCAGCAAAAATAAGGATAAAAGTATTTTATACTTTTGTCAAAACATAGCAAAAATACAGAAATAAAACAGTGAATGAATATGTGTAGGTTCAGAATAAAGTGACTTTGTGTGGATGAAAACAGAGAGAGTACTGTAGCTTTTTACATGAGTATGTAGTTTTAGGCAAAAAATTCAGAGCAGAAACTTTTGAAAGATCTGCTAAGTTAGACTCTACTTTATAAGGAGTGTATCTTGTCTCCAGCCTCCCACCACAGTGCCTTGGGGACCTGCCACAGCACTCAAGCCAAACTCACCTTCTTAGCCACTTCCAGGCAATGACTGAGCAGAGCATGGTAGCTGTTACCTAGCCATTTCTGCCTAACATAGGGCACCTCTAAAGGCCATCTTTGGCATTCCATTTCTGACATGGCCATCCTGTCTCAGAGTTGTACCTTGGTCTCAGGTTCTTCCTGAAAGTCTAATTTTCCATCATTCCTCATATTCTTACACTTGCATCAAAGTCTTAAGTTTCTCCTTGACTCACCGTGCTCTTCTCCCCTTTATCTTTCACAAGCAGTCTTCCCAATCAGCTTCTACTTCTATCCCCTTGGCATCTGCTTCCTAGAAGACACAGACACAGAATCAGAAAGTTTTTCTCCTCTCTCCAAAATGTGTTCTCCAACAAGTCAAAATATTCTTCCAGGTATTAAAATCTCTCTAACAATACACAGATATGTTGTGAGAAGAATTAGTAGCCATTTCCCTCTCAAGAAGAACTAATTAAATAATTACATTTGTTTATATACTACAGATTAGTGGAGTCAAACTTAGGGAAGTTTAATATGGTTGATGGCCAGAAAGGATCAGTATGGCTAAAGTAAGAGTATATATGAGTCTTAACAGTAGAATGAACTAAGTTCTCCCCTGCCATGTAAGGTTACAGACAGAAGACGCCACCTATGAACCAGAAAGTGGGTTCTTGCCAGACACTGCATCTGCCTGCTGCTTGATCTTGGACTTCCCAGCCTCCAGAACTGTGATAAATACATTTCTGTTTTTCATAAACACCCAGTTTATGGCATTTTGTTATAGCAGCCCAAACAGACTAAGACAGTAGTATCCTGTTGTTGAAATCTTTTAAAAGCCATGGTAAAATGCATGGTAGTGATCTCAACAATAATGAACAGTAATTGGAATTCTCAGAGTAGTTTAGTAATATTTAAAGAATTTCAGTGGTAGTTAACAAAATGGTTTATAGACACTCTTCAGATTGGAACACCAGCATGAAAATAGGTGACTAATTATTTCATTGAAATATTTACTATTCTGTTTTTATTAATCTCTTCTCTCCTAGTTTGGCTAAAGAAAATCCACCATTTGCCTACTAATACCTACAAGATAGATCTATAAATATAATCAGAAATATTTTCAATATTTAAGTAATTATTCATATCACCTAATAATATTAAAGAGCTTTTTAAAAATACATGGCAACATATGCTTTTAAAACAAATTTTAACTATAAGAAAATTATATAAATTTTGAGTTAAAATAATTCAATTGATAAATATATTGCTGATCAAGAATTAAAATTGTACTAATTCAACCAAACTAAGACACAAAATTTTACAAAAATCTCAATCAACTATGGCAAAAATATGATAGGAGCACCCTTTTTTAGATTATATTAAATAAGTCATCCTAGAAAATTATTGATATTTACACAAAGTAATCATCTTAATCATTTTTGCTTTTTTTTTTGACAATCACAACTATAATTACATTGACAGCTTTTAAAGCAGCAAGTTAAAGAATGTCTACTTTCTTATGATACAAAAGACATTGAAGACGACGTTTTCATGCTCCTGAAGGATGATGGACACTGCAATAATTATAACTGTCAAGATAGTGAAGACAGTGTTTGAAGAAAGAATTATTACGTCTTTTTTATGATGAATATTTGCTGGTGCTCATATTAATAATAAACTGTGAGTATCTCTTGCCACAGAGGACATTGAGCATTTTTTCAGCTCTTAGGCAGATTTCATGCTTCAAGGAAATTCTCAGCCGCCTGACTCATTGGCTATATAGATTAGAAACCTACAAAAGAACAGTAAAATCCAAAACCACAAAGCTGAGGAGAAGAGAATAGGCGGAAATAATGAAAGTAACACCAACTCAAATATTCAGGGAAAATGTATGCCAATGTATCATAGGATACCAAGAAAATTTAGTTCTTGTAACAAATATAAATGTCAATATTAACATAAATGTCAGATGTTCATAAATACCTATGGGGAGATTTTATAGCTTATGAATTATAATTTTATAGACATAGCAATAAATAGCTATTGTTAAACATAATTATAGCATCAGAAAGCTTTTACAGTAAGATTAGATCTGTTGTGAAATATACAAATAAAACTTAAGAATGAAAGTTGATTTAATAAATAGTAATCCAAATAATTACAAACTTAGATAAAGGAGCATTTTAATAAATGTTTTTTTTTGTCATCACCATTGGTAAAACTCCGTACTGCATACCTAAGCAAAATGATTCTATATTATGCAAGAATAACAAAGAAAAAGAAGATTAAAAAGTAAAAATCCATATACTGAAAAAAGAACATGAAAAATTCAAAATTAATCAGAACAGACACGTAATATTTTATTTAATATTAACTCGAATTACATTGGCTTGATAGAATTGGAGGAACGTATAATCAAAAGCTAATTTGTGCCTTTGACAAAAAGAATATATAGAATACATCTTTTACATTAAATTTGTCTTTTACAGCAACTCTGTAGAAATCTAAGCATGAGTAAAAGAAAACAAAATTCTGTGTTCCCTACTTACATATGGCTTTAGCATTGCTCTACTTTAAATACTGGCTTACCTAATTCATCCTTGCATCAAGAACATACAATAAAAATAAATCATTCTAGTGACAAATCCATGTCACAGTTTTTGCCTGTTTTGCAATTATCAAGTTAAATATTTTATCGGCACATTTTGAAACAACTACTTAGGCAACTGCTACATTTATTTTCTCATTATTTCTCATTTTCTCAGTTTTAAATGGAAGCTGTAACAAGTTATGGTAAACTTGTATATGTACATATTTATTTAATAGACTATATTGTACAGTAGTTTTAGGTTTACAGCAAAATTTAGTAGAATGTACAGAGATGTTCCACATCACCCCTACCCCCACACATGTATAGCCATCATCCCCCATCATAGCAGTGCACTTCTTACAACTGAACCTACACTAACACATTATCACTCAAAATTCATAGTTCGCATTAGGGTTTACTTTCAGTGTCATACTTTCTATGGGTTTGGACAAATTATATTACAATGATATGTATCCACTATCATAATAGCATACAGGGTAGTTTCACTGCCCCCAAATCTTCTGAGTTCTGCCTGTTCATTCCATCCACCTCTTTAACATCTAGCAAACACTGTCTTTTTACTGTCTTTATACTTCTGTCTTTTCTAGATTGTCAAATATTTGAAATAGTATGTGGCCTTTAATATCATCTTCTGTTACTTGGCAGTATGAACTTTGGGATTCTCTAGGTCTTTTTCGTGGCTTGATAGTTCATTTCTTTTTAGAACTCAATCATGTTCCCTTGTCTGGATGAACAATAGTTTATTTATCCATTTGTTTATAGAAGAACATCCTGATTGCCTCCATGTTTTGCTATTTATGAATAAAGCTATAAACATCCATATGCAGATTTTTGTGTGGATGTATATTTCCAACACCTTTGGGTAAATACCAAAGAGCAGGATTACTGAAGTGTATGGTAAGAGTATATAATTTTGTAAAAAATTACCAAACTCTCTTCCAAAATGTCCACAGTAAGACTTCATGCTAGATAGGGTCAGTTCTCCAACTTTGCTCTTTTTCATCAATACTGTGTTAGCCATTCCAGGTATTTGACTTTCTAAATGAACTTTAGAATCAGTTTTTTGATATCTTCAAAGTAACTTGCTGAGATTTTGATTGGAACTGCACTGTCAAAATCCAGGTTCTTCAGTCTCTAATATTTGTTCTTACATTTTCTTCCTAACATGTCCTACCACTCATTCATGTTGCTGTTACCCGCCTTTCACAAATGTATTCATTCCATGCTAGTTTACAAAGAGCTTCTAATCAGCACATCAGCATATACTCAAATCCTATGGCATATTAACTCCATCTCAGACCATTATTTCAGCATTGGTTCACAGCACTGGTTTTCTATGCTAAACATTTTCATTTTGTTCATGGTATTTACTTACATAGTTTAAATTCACGCATGCTTACTAGAAAAATTGAAATATGCATAAATGTGGATAATCAAAAAGAAGTCCTTCAGTTGTTCACAATCCTAATGCCCAGAAATATTTATAATTACTCTTTTGGAGCATTTGCAATTTTTTTTCTATTACGTTTAGCTGAACATTTTCTCATTTAAACGGAGTTTCTGTGGCAAAGCAATTGAAAGGCCAGTAACTGTTCTTTCTTTATTAAAAAGCACCTCAATGGAGCTCTGACATCAGGATGAAAATGGTTTTCTTTCCTGTGTCAAAGCTCCCCTCCACACTTTTTTGCTTGATTTGGTTTCTTTAGCAACTTACAGAAACAGATAATCATTTTAGAACTAATACTTTAACCCATCATGAAAGTTGTTTTTACTAATGTAAACTACTAAAGTAATAGTTGAAAAAAACATATTAAGACACAGCAGGTAGTTATAGGACTTGCAAAAAAAAGAAGTATGTAGAACTTGAGTTCAAAGAAGAAAGCAATCTACTTTTATGTAGTGCTACTTATACAGCCAGAGAAAACTAACCTATAAAGAAAATGTTTAAGGGCATGATTTCAGAAGCTGATAAAGAATGGCATAACCTCTTTGCAATATTTTATCACAAAAGTTAAAGTAGCTAGACTCAGAGAAGATGTGATTGTGGCTTCATTTTAAGTGAGGAGGATGAATTTATATAATATATTTCTGGTATGTAATTTTTAAGTTCTTAGGAAGAAAACAATGTTAATTAACGTCTTTGTGTTTTATATAATTTCATCTGAATAAAAGTAAAGCTTAGTTAGTACTCTGGTACTTCAATTTCAAATGTGAGCCGTTAACTTATAACAATGATCTGCCTTTCCATTGTTCAAAATAACCAAGTAAATAATAATTTTAGCATTCATTTAAAAATTTTTGCCTCAAACTGAATATAAACTGCAAAATTATATCATTTTCTTTAACTATATTAAATATTTAGAAAGAACCTAATAGCCTTCCATGCTTTATTGTTTATACAGTTACGTGTTTTGTGATACTCAAATCCGTCGAAGTATAAAATATCTACTTTATTGTCCGAGCCTGTTGTTGTTTTGAGTTGTTGGCTCCTTCAATGTATGAGGCAAAAGAAAAGCCAAGATGTTTAGTCAGTCTGCCTTCTTGATATATCACAGGTTTCCTATGCTTCTTTTACACCTAAAGCCCGTGGTTTCTTAAATGTTTTTAGCAGGAATAATTTTAAAATACATTTAGTCTATGTTCTCAGAAACAGAAGTCTCTCTTTGGGTTCTATAATGTGAATTATAGCAATAATCTTTATA